CTTTCGGTCATGACCCAAAGCTCATGACCATAGATGAGGGTAGGAACGTAGATCGACCGGTAAATCTATACAATGAATAATTTTCAACTGAAAGAAATGAATTTGGTATAGCAGGAGTCAGCCATGATTCTGATATAGCCATAACATGTGCTTGTGTCTGAGCAAGTATCACTTTGAATTCATCCAGTTTAGGTACAAGATGATATTTACCAAAGTTAGGATAACTTATGGTCGATGCTTGTATACACGCCATAGGACGCTTGTGTGCTGTTGTTTTTCGAAAATGATGTTCGTCATTTGCGTCTTTGATCTTCCGTTTATGTAGCATACAGAGTAACAGCAACACTAAAGCTGAGGTAAATTTGGTCAAAAACAGACCTGCAGATGCCTGTAAAGCCAAATGGGATGTATTTTCCTGCAGCGATACTGCACAGCTACATATATCTGCTGCCACCGCCGCCATCTTCTGCAGTATGGGGAAACACCGTGATATCCGCACCGATGCGGGTCAGCGGCTCATCAAACTGGACTCGGGACAAAAATAATTTTGAAAGCGAGCCTCGTCTGCTCGCAGCTCCTGGGTGACGAAACTCACCAAACTCAGAATGTCTCTGAATTATCTGGTGAATTAATTATGAATTAGTTATCTGATGAGTGTGACATTCTCTTGCACTCATTAAGTACAGCGAAGGCGCTTTCTTTATTTCATCAGACATTAAACAGAGACCGGCAGAGGAGGGAGGGGGCGGGGAGGCTCTCGACATTCTAGATGTGCGTCGAGCGTTTCAAGAGCAATTTCGCCTCGCGTCTGACCTCAAAGTGCACAAGTGTCCGGTTGATGTGATTTTGATCCTGAAATCGCGTTCAGTGTGAATGCAGGAGGTAGGGTGAGGAGCTCCATCATCCGGGGGGAGCTCAGAGTAGAGCCGCTGCTCCTCCACATCGAAAAGAGTCAGTTGAGATGATTCAGGCGTCTGATTAGGATGCCTCCTGGACGCCTCCCTTCAGAGGTTTCCTGGACATGTCCCACTGGTAGGAGGCCCCGGGACAGACCCAGGACTCGAGGGACTGCATATCCTCTCTGGCCTGGGAACACCTCTGGGTCCCCCAGGACGAGCTGGAAAGTGTCGCTGGGGAGAGGGATGTCTGGGTTTCTCTCCTGGACCTGCTGCCTCCATGACCTGATGGATAAGTGGCAGAAAATCACAAAAAGACCCTGATGTTAACCAGAACATGTCTTCTGCATGTCTGGATTGATTCGTAAACCACGTCTGTGTTTGTCCAGGAGGATCTTCTCAGACTAGATCCTGAAGAGACGACATTGGAGGTCAGAGAAATGATAACCTCCTCAATCGTCTGCTCATAATTCTGTCCACCTGTTTGTGTTGATATTTTCTCTCCATCCTAGAACTTCCTTAAATCACCAGCTGATCTCAGATTTCAGAACCAGACCTTGAATTAAGTGAACTAAAATAACTGAAGATGATCCTGAAGGTTTCTGAACCTTTTGATGTCTAAACAGACATGTTGCTGCTGTAAAACTCAAAATGACCTTATTTTTTTAAAATAAAAAAATATTAAACTTCTTAGTTTCAACGTTTGGTAATGTTTACTTTTTTCCACAGAGAATCAAATGTAAATTTATAAAATGTGCAAATCACAATATTGTAGAAAAAAAATATAAAATCTAAAATGAGTTCAGTGGATTTGCGTTTAGTTTCTCCTGTGCTGTAAAATAATGAGTGTTCAGTTGTGTAATTTTGGGTCTGGTTTATATGACTGAGGGAAACTAAAACCACATATGAACTGGGTCACATCGGGTTCTCGCCTCTGGTGTCCTCTTTTCTGCAAACTTCCCCCCAATGTTTTAGATTTTTACAACAAACTTGAATCAAATCTTCTGCCTCTCAAAAAAACCACACCTGTGACATTTTCACATGAAACTGCTGCGCTCTTTACCAGCAGAGACAAACAACTAAACACCAAAACGTCTGAGAGAATTAATTTAAATATCTAATGCCAAGTTTTTATACTTCCTGTTTCAGACTCAATGAAACTGAGAAAAGATTAAAGAGAGAAACACCATTTGGAACGTGTTAGTGACAAATATTCAAATTGTTTTATAATTTGTGAAATGTTCCAGCTCAACCTCTTTGTTCAAAATAATAATATTTTATAACCACCAGACTTCTGCTTCTGTTAACATTCAATGATGCCTTTTTGAATACAAAACTGGAGGAAGTTTTCTCAGGAAGTAGGAGCATCAGAGCAAAACGTTGTGATCTTGTTTTATCTGATAACCTCTAAAAGACTCAGCTGCTTTTACAGCTTTATTCTGAATACATGAGAGCTGTCCAATCTATTCATCAGCTTGGTTTGTTTCTTTAAGACTGAACAACAGGGTGGTCGTCTGGTTGGTACAGGCAGTGTTTTTATGTTTTTTAATTCATGAAAGAAGAGCTGAATAGTGTTAATTATGTACAAAAAGAATGGGCCATGAGGCATTCATGCAGAACAAAAACATACAAACCTTCAGTAAGTGTCTTTAAGAAATGGTGCAACCCAAACAGCCCCCCAAAATTTTGTGAAAAAAAAATAAAAAAAATAAAAAATCATCCATCCATCCATCCATCCATTTTCTTCCGCCTATCCAGGGTCAGCTCGCGGGGGCAGCAGCTTCAGAAGGGAGGCCCAGACCTCCCTCTCCCCAGCCACTTCTTCCAGCTCCTCCGGGGGAACTCCAAGGCGTTCCCAGGCCAGCTGAGAGACATAGTCCCTCCAGCGTGTCCTGGGTCTTCCTCKGGGCCTCCTCCCGGTGGGACGTGCCCAGAATACCTCACCAGAGAGGCGTCCCGGAGGCATCCTTACCAGATGCCCRAGCCACCTCAACTGGCTCCTCTCGACGTGGAGGAGCAGCGGCTCTACTCTGAGTCCCTCCCGGATGACCGAGCTTCTCATCCTATCTCTAAGGGAGAGCCCAGACACCCTGTGGAGGAAACCCATTTCGGCCGCTTGTATCCGGGACCTCGTTCTTTCGGTCATGACCCAAAGCTCATGACCATAGATGAGGGTAGGAACGTAGATCGACCGGTAAATCGAGAGCTTCGCTTTCTGACTCAGCTCTCTCTTCACCTCGACGGACCGGTACAGCGCCCGCTTTACAGCAGACGCTGCGCCAATCCGCCTGTCGATCTCCCGCTCCSTTCTTCCCCCATTCGTGAACAAGATCCCCAGATACTTAAACTCCTCCACTTGAGACAGGGCGACCCCCCTGACCCGGAGAAGGTACTCTGCCCTTTTCCGGCTCAAGACCATGGCCTCGGATTTGGAGGCACTGAGCYTCATCCCGGCCGCTTCGCACTCGGCCGCGAATAAAAAAAAAATCAAAATCAGGTAATTATTTTTAATTAATCTTGCTAACAGATGAACAATTCAAGACTGCTGTTGATTTTTAAGAGTTGAATCATTTTCCCAAACCTGTTAACATCGCCACGCTGATCATTTTTTAAAAGCAATTGCCACTTCCCGGCTCTGCACACAGAATTTATTACGACAAACCAGTTGTGTTCAAACCATTTCTTGGATCCCGGATGAGCCCCCAAAATTTTACGTTTCCAAATTTTAGATATGTAATCTTCAGTAATAATTGATTAAAAATATTGATTTGAATTCATGCTTCTCAAGTGCACCTCTTTTGCTCCGACACGAGAGTTGTCTATTGAAACAAACGAGAGAATTATCAAACTCTTAAAAGAGGCTAAAACATCACGCAATGTTGCAAAATATGTTGGTTGTTCACAGTCAGCTGTCTAAAATCTGGACCAAATACAAACATCATGGAAGGTTGTTAAAAGCAAACATACTGGTAGACCAAGGAAGACATCAAAGTATCAAGACAGAAAACTTAAAGCAGTATGTCCCCAAAACAGAAAATCCATGACAAAACAAATGAGGAACGAATGGGAGGAAACTGGAGTCAACGTCTGTGACCGAACTATAAGAAACCGCCTAAAGGAAATGGGATTTACATACAGAAAAGCTAAATGAAAGCATTCATTAACACCTAAACAGAAAAAAACAAGCTTACAATGGGCTAAAGAAAAGCAATCATGGACTGTGGATGACTGGATGAAAGTTATCTTCAGTGATGAATTAAGGTTAGCAAATCAACTTTTATTGACTGTCCCAAGGTCAAAGCTAAAGCATTGGGGTGACCAGGCCTTTTCAGTGGCAGGACCTCGACCTCTGGAACAAACCCCCTCTAGACCTTCGCTCCACCTCTCACTCTGTCGTCTTTAAGTCTAAGCTCAAGACTTATTTCTTTAGACAGGCTTTTAATACCATGTAGTGGCATTTTCTCTTATTTTTATTGTTTTTATGTTTTCTTGTGATGTGATTTTTACTGTAAAGAGCTTTGGTCACCTTAGTTGGTTGTTAAGCGCTATATCAATCAATCAATCAATCAATCAATCAATCAATCAATCAATGAGTCCATCGAAGTATTTGAACTCATAGATAGAAAAATATTCAAATGCAGGTCTTCACGTCTCTTCAGTGGTTTTCTTTGTTTCCAGATTGATTTTCATAATTTATTGCTGGGCTATTTTAAAAAAAATGGGCCCCATCTTTGTAGTCAGTTTGATCTACATCCACACAGCAGTAAAGACACACACAGCCAACCAGACACTTCCTGTTAGACAGCCCAAGTCTTTATTTTTTGTGTTGTATGAAACAAAATTGAGATTTGTATCAGAATTCTGCACATTTTGATGATTTCTTCTGTTCTTTGTTACAGTGAAAGAAAATGAATGTTTCCATGAAGGAACAGAAGTTTGAGGGGTCAGAGTACAACTATGTTGACACTGAATCAAATTTCACTGAATTTTACGACCCTGATGATCTGGAGCAACCTTGTAATTTCACTACGAACAACAGTGTGAATCTTGTGATTGGCCCTTACATTCACTCCATCATCTCCATCCTGGGCTTCGTGGGAAACAGCTTGGTGATTATCACCTACGCCCTCTACAAGAGGTCCAAATCCATGACTGACGTCTACCTGCTCAACGTCGCCATCGCCGACCTGCTGTTTGTCCTCGCTCTGCCGTTCATCGTCTACAATGAGCTGTACTCGTGGCCGATGGGGCAGGTGGCCTGTAAGCTGCTGCGTGGCTCCTACAGCGTGAACATGTACAGCGGCATGTTGATGCTCGCCTGCATCAGCACCGACCGCTACATCGCCATCGTCCAAGCTCGGCGCAGCTTCGGCTTGAGGTCGCTGTCGCACAGCTACCTGATCTGCGCCTTCGTCTGGACGTTGGCCTTAGTGCTGTCCATCCCCACCTTCGTCTTCTACGACTGGTACAAGCCATCACACAGCGAGGCCTTCATGCTGGAGCAAGAAGAAGAGATTACCAAAGCTCATCAGTACTTCTGTGAGATGAGATTTCAGGACAATTTAACAGCCAAGACCGTTAAAGTGACCGTTCCCAGCCTTCAGCTTGCTGTAGGCTTCTTCCTTCCCCTGATCATCATGATGTTCTGCTACACCGCCGTCATCGTCACTCTGATGAAAGCCAAGAACTTCCAACGGCACAAAGCGGTTAAGGTGGTTCTGGTTGTGGTGCTGGTGTTCATCACCTGCCACCTGCCGTACAACATCCTGCTGCTGTACGACACCGCCAACATGTTCCAACAAACTGGCTGTGACGAAGTGGACTCTGTGCAGACCGCACTGACGGTCATGCAAACCATCGCCTACCTGCACTGCTGCCTGAACCCGGTGCTGTACGCCTTCATTGGGGTGAAGTTCAGGAACCACTTCAGGAGGATCTTCCGGGACCTGTGGTGTGTGAGCAAGAAGTACATGACGCCGCGCCGCTTCTCCAGGGTGACCTCTGACACCAACATGTCCACGTTCCGCCGCTCGATGGACGCGTCCAGTGAGACCGGCACGTCTTTCACCATGTGAGGACTGAGCTTCAGACCAGACTCATGTCTATAGAGTAGTTTTAAATCTCACTTTACTGTAAATATCAGGTTTTTCTAATTATTTAGAAGAAATAGAAAGATAAAACATACTGCAGTTCCAAAATTTGGTTTTGTTGATTGTTGCTTTAATTTCATTAAGATGTGGACTGTACTTATCTGTGTACTTTATACTGCAGAAAGATGTGGACTGTACTCATCTGTGTACTTTATACTGCAGAAAGATGTTTGAAGTGATGGAAGTTTGACTCGGGGTGGTTTGTAGAACTCATTCAGTGACGTCATCAAGACTGTACCCCGATGAAGGGCGTTCTGTCCTGTATTTCATACAGATACATGTATTTAACCCAGTGTTTATTCTGTTATGCATGTAGATATTTTCAGACAAAAGTTAGGATGAGACTCTCATATTAATCAGATTGGATTAAACATACTTAAACCTGGTTTTATCTGAGGTCTGAAATGTCCATTATCCTTATTTTTTCTATTTACTCACTGAGCACCAGTAGTTAGACATGACTGAATCATCTGATGCTTTTATTTTGAAACAAGCTCTGCACAATACAACACAAAGCAGCTGAGACATCCACAGAACAAGTTCAGAAACATGAGGAACCAGTGATTCTATAGCTAGACTCCGATTCCCCTGTTTATGGCGCCCTCTATGGATGGAACCCTAATCAAAGAGTCTGAGGTTTAGTCAGCTCTAATCTTTCCTGTAAAATACTGACTAATGATTTTAACTTTTAAAACTGAACCTGCTTTTTGAACACAGTCTGAGGTAAAATCCCTGATTTGTACTTTTATTTTCTCTAAATAAAAGTGTTGGTTGTGAAATCTTTAACAATGTGGTGATTCTTTTTCTCAACATCAGATGGCAGCAGTGACAAAGATGGGTAAAACCGAAGAGGTCTCACTCTTTTACGTGTAAAAATGATATTAAATCACAGGAGGGTGTGAAAAGTATGGAAGCCAATTTATGCCAGAAGAACTAATAAATAGCATATCATAAATATGACATCATGACATGTCTATGCTAAGCTATAATGCTGGTCTGAGTACACGAACTTCGTTAATAACCCTAAAAACACAGGCGTTTTGACAATCTTAACAGCTTGTACACAAATATAAATACTTATGTTGTGTTTTTGTAATAGCTACAGGGAAAATATTACATCAGCAATTATTTTAATTACCCTTTAAATTGATTTCTGGAGATTATCCAAGGTGCTTCATGACCCATAATTGGGTCCAAAGCCCAACTTTGGGAACCAAAGTGCAGTGGTTCCCAAACTTTTCAGSTTTTGACCCACAAAATAACAGYAGCAGAGACCTGTGCCCCCARCTRTTTTTGGATGATAAACATTTGTATCAGGTCAGCTAAACATGGGCATAGTAACAATATTTTTATACTAAATTTATCCATTTTAAATATACTAACCTCACTCCTTTGTAACAACTAAGGCAAAAATGTAATTAATTCTGAAAATCTTGTCAGGACCCCACCTTGGGTCCCGACCCCAACTTTGGGAAACACTGGTGTAGAGGGTCGGGGTGTGGATCTAGTCATCCTCGTATTGTTGGGCAGCATCACCAGCTCAGACTGCAGGACGAGCTGAGTGAACTCTATCTTTTTAATTTCTGTGTGGCCCTTAAAGTTTAATCTTCATAAATATGAAAAAGATAAAGTTAGATTATTAATCCTATAAAACTGCAGCTGCTGAGGTGAGTGTTTAGTCTCTGAGGGGTTTCTGTGATTTCATGTCTAAACTTGTTTTCTGCAGTCTGAGCTCCTATCAGCTGATGGGGATGCTTCAGAGCTGAATCAGTCTCAACATCTGGTCACATGTGGAGACGGGCCTGCTGGTCCTGCTGGTCTGCACCGTGTCTCTGCAGAGGGAACCTGAGTGATTTAATCAGATTACAGCTGAAACACTGCAGCTCTGTTTGGAGCAGTAACTCTTCCTGTCACAAACACAAACCACCGGAGTCAGGAGCAAACTGCAGCTCAGCAGCTGCGTCAAGGTTTAAAACAAAGAAAATAAACAGGAAATGACCCAGAAAACTACAAGAATTATCTTCTTAGATAAAAGCTCAGACTGCACTGTAAAGAACGTGAACCCTTAAAGATGAACGAATTTTATTAATTTATCTTTATATTTGTTTTGTTATTTAGTATTTGTTTAGTTTACCTCGGTACAAACTAATTGTTAAAATTTGCCTTGGAGAAATTACAAAATGTACAAAAGAAGATTAGGGCCACTGGGGGGGAAAAGTATAAATGTGACTTTAATCTCAAAACTACAGAAGAGCATTGCATTCACTTAATAAAAAAATATTTGACTCCTGATCTCATGATTACGAGACCAGGATCTCATAATTATGAGAAAAGATCTCATTAATTTTTTCCCCCGTGGTCCTAATCCTCTTATGTAAAAACAGAAACTGGTAATTATTTTTTATATTTTAGTGATTTAACTTTTTAATAATTTTACAGAAAATTGTATCAAATTGTTTTTTTGTTTCGTTTATACAGTGAAAAAGCCAAATGTCTGCAAACACAGAGTCAGTAAGTAAAACTTTATTTATATAGCACATTTCAAGATCACAAAGTGCTTCAAGAAACACAAACAAAAATAAAATAAAATAAAAACAGAACAAATGCAAACAAATGCAGATTAAAAAAGGTAAGTTTTTAATTGAGCTTTAAAGGACCAGTTCTCAGCTGAGAGTCCTCCTCAGACTGAACACAATAATAA